ACGGAGAGCATGCACAGAGAAAGAGGATTAGTACTTATTTATATATACTATATAACACACACACACACACACACACACACACACACACACACACACACACACACACACACACACACACACACACACACACACACACACACACACACACACACACACACACACACACATTCTTAGAAGACGTTAATAACTCCAATAAAGGATTTTGAAGAAGGTTTTTGATTGAGTTATGGCACAATACTCTTTTCTGTAGACAACATATTGTAGTTTGAATTCTGACTACTTCATCTTGTTTAATTTTTAATTTACTGATGCATCACTACTTCTCCAGCCCACCTAAATAAATATATCGAATCTTATTATTCTAGAAAGGTTTCTCCATCGTGTCTCACCTCCTCCGCCATGACGGCTTCTTTTACCACACTGTTACCACTCAATGTATTCATTAACGGTTTGGGAACCCAGTATTGATCTCACCTCCAACTGATGCATCACTACTTCTTCAGGCCACCTAAAGATATCTATCGAATCTAATCCTTTCTCACCCCAAACAACAACAAACGGTTCTGTCTGCTGTATGTATTCATTGGTTTGGGAACCCAGTATGTGTCTCACCTCCTGTGCGATGCTCCTCATGCGTGCGGCCCAGTCCTCGGCCTGCTCCAGCACGGCGGTCAGGTCGGTGGCCGGGCCGTGCTTCAGAGCCTCGGCCGACGAGAGGATCTGCTGCAGGGTCAGAGAGCGGATGTGTCTGAGCGAGCGGTCCAGAGGAGTCGCACACTGCCACTCATCCAGGGAGGGGAGGTCCTCACTAAGAGATCAAACACGGAGATAAATGATATTAAAATTGGAAGAATTGGTCGACAGGAAGTCAGAAGTCACTGGTTCGATGAGGAAAGGCTGATATAGTATATTCCTTTTGCGTCTGCCTAATAATAATAAATCAAATATCTTTCACTGATAACTATGGAATCTAATTATTTTTAGAAAGGTTTCTCCATCAGTGGCTCGTGTCTCACCTCCTTAATTTTGTCTTAATGTACATTATTTAATTTCATATTCTGTTCTTATACATATCATATTCTATTTAGTTTCTGTCAACAGGAAGTCAGAAGTCACTGGTTTGATTAATAAATCAAATATCTTTCACTGAACGATAACTTGTGTATTTCATAATTTGCCTTGTTGTTGAAATATACATAAACTTGCCTTTTAAACATTAAAAAAAAGGGAAAAAAAATATATAATAATACAAATAAAAAAATTAATTAAAAAAAACGATAATTATAACAATAATAAAACATCATCATCATCATGAAAATAGTTTAAAAAAAATGTAAAAAAATGAGAGAATGACACGAGCTAATTTAATTCAATAGAGTTTACCTGCAGTCTGTGATGACCTGATCCAACATCTCCACCACCCGGAGCTCCAGATCCTCCAGATCCCCTCCTGCCTTCACCTCCAACTGCACCTTCTGCAGGTGCTCCTCCTACACACACACACACACACACACACACACACACACACACACACACACACACACACACACACACACACACCACACACACACACACACACACACACACACACACACACACACACACACACACCACACACACACACACACACACACACACACACACACACACACACACACACACACACACACAAGTTCAGATAGTGAATGCTCCACATTGAATGATGATTGATCTTAGAATGGCAACCTCAATTGGATCTTTTAAATTTGGCTTATCATTTTTAGTAGTATCAGTGTTGATGTTTTATTGTAGTTATGTTCCTCATTTTGTTGTCATACTCTGTATAGCACTCTGGGCTGCGTCAAGCATGAAAGGTGCTATATGAATAAAGTGTATTATTATTATGAGAGAGAGAGAGTTGCACCCACCAGTCTCTCGATGGCTGCCAGCAGCATGTTGAGCGCCTCGATCCTCGGTCTGATATCTTCCCACTCTGAGGAGAGAACCACCACCGGCTTTATGTTCCCCCACGGCAGGTAGTAGTAGTGGCACCCTGGAACACACACACACACACACGCACGCGCACACACACACACACACACACACACACACACACACACACACACACACACACACACACACACACACACACACACACACACACACAATAGACACAGACATAGAGACACACACAGACACACACACACACACACACACACACACACACACACACACACACACACACACACACACACACACACACACACACACACACACACACACGGCCAATAGACACAGACATAGAGACACACACAGACACACAGAGACACACAGAATTGAATGTACTACAAGTTAATCAGTTTGCAGTACTTTGACACCGCTTGACACCACTTGCTGCAAACATATATCAATAAAATAAACATTTATATTTGTAACACATAAATATCCAATAAAAGCAAACAATTAAATTAGCTGTTGGTTTATTTCAATGCATATTACCGCCTAAATCTCAACCTATTGCACGTTTCCTCAGGTGTCTCGTACAGCTAAGTGAATTTACTGCACATACAAAGTATTTTTAGTGCTTTTTTTTAATCCATTTATATGTCTGTAGCCACCCTCACACCCTGACCTTTGACCTACCGTCGAACACGGCGCGGCTGAACTGTGTTGTGGATGCCAAAGGGAGACAGGTGTAGTCGAATTTATTCCCGTAGTTTCCGATGCTGACCTCAAACTGGATGGCGTCGTCGACGTCCTGCAGCAGCGTGGCCGAGTAAAACGCCACGAAGAGAGAGAACTTCCTCTTCCTCAGGAATTTCTGTAAGACGAGGAGGAAGAGAAGGCAAGGCAAGTTTATCTATATTGCACTTTTCAATGTTGTGTCAAATTATAATTATAATAATAATAATAATAATGCATCAAAAAACAAAAGCCTGTTTTGTTCAGCCGGATAATATCCACATGTGTCTTCCCTACTTTTATCATTTTCGAATCATAAATCTAGTCGCCAGAAGCAAAATGCTAACGTTATGCTATAAAGGAACTACAGCAGGGTCGCACGACTTCAACGTCACGCCAACTTCAGATCCATATTCAAACATACAGATTCTAAACGGTACGAGTTGAAGCGTTTGTTTGAACAGTTTGCAGGAGGCAGGTACTTGCTTTCAAGCAGAACAGGGCAGACAAACTTAGAGGAGTGTTTACGTGTTCGGTGTAATGACGTACAACGTCCTCCACAACTTCTGTAGTCCTATTCAGCCACTTGGTAACAACCATCGTTTTTCAGACACGTCAACTCTTCACAAATCACCAGCGGGGTCACTGCTGATGGATTTAATGTCGTAGAACAAAACGTGATCTGTCTCTTCAATGTGTCTCAACCACAGACCTTATTTCCAGCTATGTTCCTAAACCCTATGGAGAAATTGCATTGCTTTTTGGCGAAGGAACCGGAAGTGGTAAAATGCTAACTTACTTCCGGGTTTTAGGACGTGTCACTGTGGCACTCTATTACCCCCCTATTTAGGAACAATACTTTATAGGGGGCAATAACGCATTAAACAGCTAAACAACAACATTGAAGACAATGGTTTATTAGGGGTCACTACAACAGGTGCACTGACACCTGTCACATCAAAGGGATTTAGGGGCGGGACTAAGGTTTTATGGGGGGTCATAAATCAATCACCCAACATGTCATAAAAGTGACACAAACCGTGTTGTTTTCACTACTGACTCGTTTCTCTTTGTGTTTTTCATTTGAACTCCTTCCTCCCTCTCACCTCCACCACCAGCTGGTCGTCTGACGGGATGTCTTCAGTTTTCTGCTCCGGTTTGTCCGCCAGTTTTGTCGTTAGCTCCACTAAAACTCGACCTCGGTACGCTACGCCCTCCCCCTGACGGCAGAAAAACAGATTTAAAAAGTGCAAGACAACGTAAAATGTCAATACTAGTTTCCACAATCAGTTAATGACATTTTACGAAAGCCTGCAGCAGACTCTCGTTCTCTATGAGGTCACCTTATCCACCCTCACAGCACAACCCGGGCCCTGGGGTCCTCTGAGCAAGGCCTCCTAAGGGTGCCCCGAACCAGGCTAAAAACTAAGGGGGACCGTGCCTTTGAGGCGGTGGCTCCAAGGCTTTGGAATGAACTCCCCCAGAAACTGAGAGCCTCTGTCTCAGTAGAGATTTTTAAGGGTCAGCTAAAGACTCACCTTTTCCGACAGGCCTTTGGGGCGCCGGAGGAGGTGAGTTAGTAGCTGTCTTTTCATTGGTGTTTTATCCTATGTTTTACCTGCTGTGTTTTATGCCTTTTATTCTACATTTTATAGTTGTACTTTGAATTGTGTATTGTGTACTGTATACTGTAAAGCACTTTGTACATTCGTCTTGAGAAGGGTGCTATATAAATAAAGTTTTAATTAAGGGCAAAAGAGAGATGTTGTGGTCTAATATGTATTACATAGCATATCTAAAATGACAAAGGACAAGCAAGAGTTTTATAGGTTGAAGAAAAATCTAGAGGACTTTATTAAATTCAAGTCGTTTTTCAGGAAAATAAGCAGAATCTTACTTAAAGGTGGGGTAGGTAAGTTTGAGAAACCGGCTGGAGATACACTTTTTGTTATATTCCATGGAATGCTCTTAACATCCCGATAGCAATGAATATCTGAAGTGCTTTGACAAAAAGTCCATACAAAAATGTCATCTGTGGAAGCCGTAGCACTGTAAAAAGCACGACCAATCATCTGAGCCGGCCCGGCTAAAATAACTGGATGGCCTACCTGCCTGTCAACCTTCCATCTGTGCACAAACTTATCTCGTGCCCTCATTGGTCATGTGTGCGTTCGTGTGTGTTGGAGGAGGGGCTCTGTAAGGAAGTGGGAGATTTTCTCCGGTTGTGTATTTTCAAATTCTAGCGATCTCGAGCCGGTTTCTCAAACTTACCTACCCCACCTTTAATAATAATAATAAAGACATCAAAATGTAAAGAAATGCAGAATGTAAAACAGTAATAGACTAATTCTATATACCATAATAATGTTTGGTATGTTTTTTGGGCAGATTTTATTTAAAACTGAAGAACAAACAAACAAATATTTACTAATTTATTTATTATAATCTTTTGTATTTATTTATGTTTTTATTTATTTATACATTACTATTATTTTTTTCAAATATTGTTTAATGTATTAATTATTGTTATTATCATCATTACTATGTGTATGCATTTGTATTAACTGTATTCACTTTAAATGAAGCCAGTCAATGTCTTTTGTCATGTACGTCTTTCATTGTTGTTGTTGTTGTTGTTATGTGTCTTTCAATGTGGCAAAATAATAAAGACAGCAATAGTTTACAAAAATATATAATATGAACGTTACTTTTCCGAGGTTGAGCGCCTCGTGTGGGTCGTTGAAGGCGGTGAATTCTCTCGGGCTGCCGTACAGATTCACGAAACACGGACCGAACGTCGGCAGAAAACCGAGACTGTCGTCCACTGGAGACACAAAACAAAACCAACATATTTAACCATAATCAGAACAGGATGTGGAGCAGCAGAAAAGAAAGAAAGACTGATCAATTAGGTAATTGATTAATTGATTTATGACATTATGTGCACGTGACAAGGGTTTTTCATTGGAATCAAGTCAAGATTGGAAACAGTAATGAGTTGAAAGGAGAATAAGTAAATGTATATCATAAGAAATTAAATGAAAATGAACAGCTGGAAAATGAAAGTGATGGACGTACTGCCAGAGTGGGCGGTCCGAGGAGTCAAGTCATCTGAGTGCGTAGAGAGGAAGGATGGTTCAGAGTCAGACAGAAAGGAAACCAGAGGTCTTTGAACGCCACTCAAACCAAACCAAACCCAAACGGATGCACGAAAAATTCAAAAAACAAAGCAAAATCAGCTGAATGACTTGTGTATTATATGACTATATGCTGACGATTCATCCCTATTCACAAGAAGACACACAACTAATACAACTTGTCACACACACAATGAGAAAAACCCATACATCTCGATAAGGGGAAATCTTAGTGAGGAATTACAAACACCACAGAGTTAGTCTTCATGCAGGTCAATGAAAGAACGTCCATGCTTTGTTATGTTCACAAATCACACATCCATAACCATCCAAAATGTCAATTCCTATACAAAGAACTTCAACAGACTTCTAACTCTCAAATTGCAGATGGATAAACACTGGGTTTTTCTAACGATGTGTGTAAGATATGTCATCCATGTTACTGATGGAAACTGAGGATGAAACCGTTTCTATTCTCAATACATCGCTGATTAAGACAAGTCTAGATTCGTCACATACTTAAGTTTTTTTGCAGATTAGGAACGAAAAAGGAAAAAATCTTCAAACCAGAAGATCTGCAGTTAACTCTGACTATGCATAGCCTCACAAAAATGATAAAGAAAAGGCATGTTTGGTGGGTATAGACACAAAGATAAAAGCTTGGAATGATGAAACACTATTTTAACTTAAAGTGGACCTATCATGCAATATTTGAATAATATAGTGTAGGACCATACCTATATAAGGCATATTTTTCCTTTTTTTTTTCAAAATACCAAACAGATCATGCATTTTAGCCATGCCTCATTTTGCTCAATTTGCACTTTTTTATCCCTGTTTTAGCAAGGGCTGATTCTGTGAGAACAGCACCATCTACAGGCCTGGCATATGTACTACAGCGTCTCCAGCGCTTTCGAACGGCAATGGCCGTGGCTGTCTCCTCCTGATTGGTGGAGTTGGCCCAATAGCCGTAGCGCCACCGTCCTGACGTCAGGACAGTGTTCAAATCTGGATCAGTTTTTATCAGATCCGTTGCAGCCCCTTTTTTAGAGATTTGGGTATGGAGGAAAATAGAGAGGGTTGTGTTTTCTGACACTTGGTGAGTTCCCTGGAACACCGGGGACACATATTCATGTATAAAAGACGTACCAAAGTGCATTTTGCATGATAGGTCCCCTTTAATATTTATCAGATAACCTGCACCACTGCAAGGCAATTATTGTTATACATATAAAATAGCAGGTTATCTCCAACAGCTATTGGACTATCAGTACAAATAGAGCACAGACACCAACTTTAATAAAGAGTTTCAGCACAGACATTGATCCTCTGTTCCTGTGTGTGTTTACTGACAACATCCTGGTGTCTGCACAGGGAAAGAAAGCCAAACGGTCTCAATACAAACCAAACTGGTACGTTTTAATTTTGTTTACCGTCTATCTCTCCCCCGGGGGCGGAGATCTGAGACATGCAGAGGTGGGTGGTGCCGATGACATCATTGTGACTGGCTCTGTCCCTGAAATGAAAAAGTGAAAGAGAAACAAGCTCTTAAACAGGAGTGCAAAGCCAACTGGTCACACAAATTAAAAAGTATTATGTCACAGGGGAGAGAAATTAGGTAAAGACATGCACATCCGACAGTCAGACACAATCACCATATTCAAATCCCAATTAAAAACCCACCTGTTCAGATCTGCCTACTCACTGTAGTGCTCCCCATTATATGTTTCATTTGTGTCCACTTGACTGTCTCCTCCATGATTTCCTGTTTGTGTTTTTATCATGTTTTGTTGCCTATTAGCGTTTTATTTATTTTTTAACAAATTGTACGGTGTCCTTGGGTGTCATGAAAGGCGCCTAAAAATAAAATGTATTATTATTATTAAAGAAATTGAGGACAATTGCCACAAATTGCAAGAAAATGTGTACTCCTTCTTTGAATCATAACTCTGAATAACGAAGATACAGTGTGTACATTAATGGAAAAACTAGGGCTGTGCAATTAATCATATTTTAATCGCAATTACGATTTTGGCCTGCCACAATTACGAAAAACAACATAATCGAAAAAAACGATTATTTTGCTTTGCTAGGTTGTGACAGTGCACTGCAACATATTTGATCAAATGTATTTGTATTTATCATATTTATATATGTTTAGTAGCTTGTTGAAGTGCGCTCCAAAATATTTGTTGATCTTGTTTATTGGTATTTATTATTTTTGATATTATTTATTTAAATGTAGATATAAATGTATCATTTATTTAATTTATTTTTGTATTGGTTTTTCAGTTGAATTATACGCTCAGGGTAATCAACAGTTAAAAAGATACTGTTCAAATTATTATTTGTATTTAAAAGTTCAATAAATGGATGTTTTCAAAGTCAATGAATAATCGTATTTAATAATCGTGATATCAATTATTGACCAAGATAATCGTGATTATGATTTTTGCCATAATCGCACAGCCCTAGGAAAAACTGTCAAAAGGAAGTGTTAGTATCTAATTCAGCATGCTCTTTATGGTGCTAATTTGGAAAAATAAAGATAAATATCAGCATGGATTCACCAGTCCAGAATTCTGATCCTCATCTTCTCACACATGGAGGGAAACTGTAAGGAAAGGAGAAATCATAAACTTTATAATAAAGATTGGTAGAACAATAACGCTGCATCATTTGTGTGTGCATGTGTTTGCAGTGTGTGTGTGTGTGTGTGTGTGTGTGTGTGTGTGTGTGTGTGTGTGTGTGTGTGTGTGTGTGTGTGTGTGTGTGTGTGTGTGTGTGTGTGTGTGTGTGTGTGTGTGTGTGTTTCTCACTCTTATGGGCATGGACAGACTCTGGTTCCACTGTGGGTTGGCGTTCTTCTCCATGATCTTAGTGCACACCTGCGACAAGAAAATGAATACAATACAATTTACAAGAGGAAATACTGCAGGGAAAAAACTTAACTTCTTACATATTAAAAAAAAAATAGATCTATTGCATTTTACCTACCAAACTCTTGTTTTCTCTTATTAAAGTTTTTTTCTGCACACATATATAGCATATATTGCACATGTATATCCATGTATTCCTATGCAATTAAATACCTAAATCTTGAACATTAGTACAGGTGTTTTGGAATCTTTGTGCACATATTAAGTCGTTTTAGGGATTAAAGGTAGGGTAGGTAAGTTTGAGAAACCGGCTCGAGATACACTTGTTGTTATATTCCATGGAATGCTCTTAACATCCCGATAGCAATGAATATCTGAAGTGCTTTGAAAAAAAATCCATAAAGAAATGTCATCTGTGGAAGCTGTAATACTGTAAAAAGCACGACCAATCATCTGAGCCGGCCCGGCTAAAATAACTGGATGGCCTACCTGCCTGTCAGCCTTCCATCTGTGCACAAACTTATCTCGTGCCCTCATTGGTCATGTGCGCGTTCGTGTGTGTTGGAGGAGGGGCTCTGTAAGGAAGTGGCAGATTTTCTCCGGTTGTGTATTTTCAAATTCTAGCGCACTCGAGCTGGTTTCTCAAACTTACCTACCCTACCTTTAACTAACAATTTAAATGTCGGTAGATCTCTCTTTGAATACACTGCACTGAAAAAAAGAAACGTAAAAAATTGAAAATGTGGGTTTTGTATGAAAATATTCAGTTTAAATGACGCACAGTTTTCCCAGCGAAGTGAATCTCCACCAGAGGATCCACCAGGTTCTTCCTGTTGCTGTCAAACCCGAGGATCTGCCTCATCCCGTCCATGAACGCATCGTCCACTGCAGAAACACAGAAAACAGCCAGGAGGACGTTAGAAATATCTCTGAGGGATAAATAATAATAATAATAATAATAATAATAGATACATGTATTATAGCGCCTTTCAAGGGACCCAAGGCCGCTTTACATGGTGTGAACAAACAAAGAAACAAGAGGGGCAAATAATAAAGTAACAATGTAATAAATAGCAGTAGGAGTGGAAGTAGGGGGACTGTGATGGGTTAAGGGTCAAAGGCCATGGTGAACAGGTGAGTTTTTAATGATGACTTGAAGATGTCCAGGGAAGCAGCATTACGGAATATATCTATATATATATATTAGGGCTGGGGGATATAATCGGTACAACATAGTATCGTGATACTTTGAGTGGCGATATCGTATCGATACACGGACGCGAAGTATCGATATTTTATTATATAAACTATTCATATTGCAAATCCAAATTAAAAGTTTTTGGTAACAATTGCATTTTCAATCCACTAGATGGTGCTGAGCCTTCGGTAAAGTCAGTAGGATTGGCAGGAAGTTAGTCAAAACAAAGATGGAGTCAGTGGAGAAAGAAATCAGAAATGCGCCGGTCGTGTTTAAATCGTATCGCAATACGTTTAAATCGTATCGCAATACTTAGCATATTGTGGCTTAATTATCGCGATAATATTGGATTGTGTGGAGCCTGGTGATTCCCACCTCTAATATATATAAAGAATAAACTCAGAGTAGAGTGGAGACTGACTTTGCGGCAGGTCTTCAGCTCTGAAGATCCTCAGGGAGAAGGTGGCTCCTCTCAGAGAAAGACCAGCAGGCCTCAGCAGGTTCCCCTCGATATCCTCTTTATCCTCCACACACTCGCGTTTATCAGCCTGGACACATACACGCACAGATAAATACAGAAAAAATGAATCTAAAATTGGCTTGACGGAAGGCTCAGGTTACTTTTTCCCCGAAACTGTCTCACACTCAAATCTAACCTGTGGGACTTTTTGTTATAATGCTAATATATAAGTAGCATTAAAAACGATATGATAATATGTTAACGTTTAGCATGCAATCCTAACACCTGAACATGCATATTATAAGTGAGGTAACATGCTAACATTGCTAATATGTAAACAATAGCATTCTGGTTTAAAATGCTAGCAAGATCCTAACGAAAGGCTTTGGGTACTTTTTTCCCAAAACTGTCTTGTCTCACCCTCAGTTATACTACATCTCCTGTGGGACTTTTGGTTATAATGCTAATATAAGAATGCTAGCAGGCTAACACCACAATGTTGCAGTAGCATTAAAAACCTCATGATAATATGCTAACGTTTAGCATGCAATCCTAACACCTGAACATGCATATAACTAGCAAGGCGACAAGCTAACAATGTTAATGTGTAAACAATGGCATTCTGGCTTAAAATGCTAGCTTTTAGCATTTATTTCAAAGTACAGCTAGTAGATATAAACTAAAAAATATTGCTCATCTTTTTTCAACCAATGAGACTCACCGGTGGCTCATCTCCAGCTGCCAGAACCAGCAGGCTGACCTTCAGGTAACCTTTGACCCCGGCAGAGAGGTCATCAGGGTCACACAGCAGCAGCCACTTCCTCAAGAAGCAGTGTCCTAAACACAGGGGGCGGGGCTTAAAATGTGCAAACTAACCAATGATATACCAGAACTAAGAACTTCAGAACAAAAACCAGGAACAGAAAAAAGTCTTACCTGGAATATAAAACCACAAAATCATACTTTATATTTAAAAACAGGTAATGATGGACATGTTTTCTTCTAATAGTCATTCATACATGATTTAGGAACTTAAATAGAGTATTAAACGGCTGCTAATTGAACGTTTTCACACAAATAAAACAGTACAAATCAACGTTAATGTTTACTCACTGTGTTCATTGTAGACGGTGCCCACATCCAACTGTAAACAATATTAAATAAGCTTTAGATGCTTTTGCTTTTTCACTTTTTTTAATTAAATGTGCCACAAACCATGATTTCAGTGCAAACACTCATTTCCATGTTATGGAAACATTAACCCTCCTGTTGTCTTCGGGTCAAATCTGACCGATTTACTACTTTCATCAATCATAACTTTTTTGTTTTACATTCGATTGCATTAAGGCTTTATGATATCCTTCACAGTAGACATTTGAACATATACAATGGCTGATCACCACTTTCATTGAGTTTTGGATGATTTTGTCAACTTTGTAACACACACACAAACACCCACCCACACACACACACACACACACACACACACACACACACACACACACACACACACACACACACACACACACACACACACACACACACACACACACACACACACACACACACACACACACACACACAGAACAATGTGACACATTTCCCGCTCTTATGTGCCCATCCCCCCACATGGATCACACCTGGCACACGCAATACATGTTCAGTGTCTGTTCTTTGTATATTTACTGCAGTTGTTCATGTATACCAGTAGTCTGATACAGTTTGAAAGGGTGTTAAATGAAATTTGGTGATGATTAATGGTGTTTGTGTTAATGTGATAGCAGTTAAAACAGGACCGGTCAAATTTGACCGCGAACACCAAAGTAAGGGGGGGGAAACGAAGACAATAGGAGGGTTAAGTAAGGTTTTATAATGCCTACTTTCACTTTGGGGGATTTTCACAGTGTAGTATTTGTATTTATATCTGACTACTTCTTCTGCAACTGTCCAGTATTAAGTACTTGATATCTTGGTGTATTTAAAGTGTTTGTTGTGAGTTTACCTTGAATTCTCCGATCACAGCATCAGTTCTGAGAGAGCGAGAGTCACACACCTGTCGGGCAGGTAAAGAAAAATGTGCTTTTCTTACATTAAACACAACAGGAAAGCTTTATCTAAATATTGAAACGGAGATATAAAAACTCACAGTGATGAAGATCGGCTCGTCAAACAGATCTGAAGGAGTCTCGTAGAAGTTCATGAAGAATGTCTGCGGAGAGGAAAACAATCAAGCTGCAGTTTGACGGGTACATTAGTGTTTTTATATTAATTATATTATTGTTTTTACCTCGTCAAAGACCGGGTTGTTTCCCTTTCTGATGCGAGTCCTCTTGTTCTGCCCGGCAACAGTAACCTTAACAACAGGTTTGATGTGGATGCCCGGCAGCTGTCGTCCCTCGATGATGCGCACACGGACCTGAGTGGCACCATACGAAGATTATTTTTGGGGTCATTTTCAGCATATAAATCCTATAAAGTAGGTCGGTTTGCATCTTAACATTTTCTAAAATAATAGTTATTTGTAAAAAGTTGAATTATCTGTAAGAATAATAATTCTTAAGTGTTTTTTAGTTTTTTAAGCGTTTTCTTATCATGCGACTTTAACTAAGGTACTTTTACTTTTACTAGCATTATTCCTATCTTGACTTAAGTTAAATTATAAAGGCAATGCTTTAACTAGATTATATTTACAGTCTGCTATTGTCCTCTTGATTTTTATCATAGTTTTGAGACAATAATATAACTGTTCATCATTTGTCTTTGTTATGATTGTTATTACTGTTTTTTATTTATAGTACTTTTTGTGAGATGATAATATCAAATCATATCATCAACACTGTTGGGTGCTCATGTGTGTCTCTTGCCTGTACTAAATAAATAAATAAAACATCACATCCACTCCTGAATACACAAAAACTAAATAATAAAATAATGTTATGTGTGTAGTTCATCAGAATCACCACACGGCGGCGCTGTGAGCACAGTGCAGAATATTTTACAGCTCAAATATAGTAGTATAAATGAAAGCCTTCTTTATATTTCTGTCTTTAAAAAGGTGAATACATAAATAATATCAGACCTACACCCTTACCTGCCAGCATCTGCATATTTTAAAGTCTATTTTAGTCCATTTTAAATTAAAACAAGTCAAATAACACTCATCGTAAAATAGATATAAGGTGTTAAAAGTATTGATATCCATAAATCTCCACCTGCAGATCCTGGGGTTTGTTGGGCAGGGGTTTGTTGTGGCTGCTGTTCCCCCTCCTCCTCTTCCTCAGACCGCCCTGGGTGTTATAAGACGGCGGGGAGCGTTTCGGGGTCTGAGCGGCGGGCGACTCGCGGCCCGACCCCTGAGGACCCACGATGACCATGGAGCGCCCGTCGTCTCCTCCTTGGTCCTCCGGAGGATCCACCATTATCATGCTCTCCGTGTCCTCATCCCCCAAAGTGTCCAGAGAAATCACTGAGAGAGGAAGGAGACACATAAATATATGAGGAAAGATATGGGATGAATTAGCAGAAGGATAGTTAATTAATCCCAAGTAGAACTGGGTGACAGTGACATGTGTTAAAAACGTGTAAAACATGTGTAAAGAATGTGTTACAAAATGTGTAAGAAATGTCTGTAAAACGTGTAAAACATGTGTAAAGAATGTGTTACAAAATGTGTAAGAAATGTGTGTAAAACATGTGTAAAACATGTGTAAAACATGTGTAAAGAATGTGTTACAAAATGTGTAAGAAATGTGTATAAAATGTGTAAAACATGTGTAAAACATGTGTAAAGAATGTGCAAGAAATGTGTATAAAATGTGTAAAACATGTGTAAAGAATGTGTTACAAAATGTGTAAGAAATGTGTATAAAATGTCTAAAACATGTGTAAAACATGTGTAAAACATGTGTAAAGAATGTGTTACAAAATGTGTAAGAAATGTGTATAAAATGTCTAAAACATGTGTAAAACATGTGTAAAACATGTGTAAATAATGTGTTACAAAATGTGTAAGAAATGTGTATAACATGTGTAAAACATGTGTAAAACATGTGTAAAACGTGTTACAAAATGTGTAAGAAATGTGTATAAAATATGTGTAAAACATGTGTAAAACATGTGTAAAACATGAGTAAAACATGTGTAAAGAATGTGTTACAAAATGTGTAAACATGTGTAAAGAATGTGTTACAAAATGTGTAAGAAATGTGTATAAAATGTGTAAAACATGTGTTGTTTTTTTAAATGTGTCAAAAATAAAGAAAATTGAAGAAATAGAAAATGTTTAAAAAAAATAAAGAATGAAAAAAATACAATTGAATAAAGACATCAATATCAACATAAGACAGTTAAATAAAAGATTATATAAAAAATATAGTGCGTAACTTGGGTTTCGTGAAAGTTGCTCCATTTTAGAGTGAAACACAAAAAAAGATTAATTAAATAAACTAATTAAATAAAAATATAGGATGTTAAAGTAAAATATCCACTAAAAGATACATTCAAATAAATATGACAAATATATATAAAGATACAAAAAAGTAATTAAAATTCTATAAATAACATGTATATTACAATACAAACAGTAGAAGAAGTTTATTTAAAATGTGTGTTCGCTAATAATGTGAATATTTAAAGCAACTAAAGCACAGTAGAGTAGAAGTTTAAGGTAGTATTAAATGAAAAATACTCAAAGCGTCAAAACTGTACTTAAGTTCAGTACTTGAGTAAATGTACTTCACTACAAATGAGACACTTCTATTGTGATTTCTATTTACTGATTTATTTGATGTCACTAATGATCTTTTTACTTGTGACGGTGTCCATCTCCACCCCGGGGTTGCTGTGCGGCAGATGCTCAGGGTGGGGGGGCGGATGATATAAAGGAGACGCTCCTGGAGGAGGGAGGTACGAAACCTGCAGGGTCAACGTCGCCTGGAGAGAAGAGACAGAGACATTTCATTTAGGCTCCATTGTGTGATAAAAAAAATCCACACGTAATCACTTCTGGAAAGAAAATAACAAATATACAAGCTTAAACCAAAGTTGTGTTATTTAATAAAGAGTTATAGCATTTAACAGAATCAATCTTAAGTTAATTATTGTACAAGCTTGTTGGTAATGCATGTTGCAGATATTATGAAAGTGTTTTTATATTGTAAAACGCAGGATTAATATATCATAAGGAAGGTTTGTGTAGAAATGGACACGTCCCATATTTGGACGATGTACCGATGTACATTTTCGAGCTTATATTCCCCCGAAATTGCTTAAAAAATATACAAAATAAACTGCATTATTGAAGCTACTTAATGCTTATATTCAGTCAAATTTCAACAAGAGAGGACTCTTTAAAGTAGAGACACTACATACTGATATACACCTGAACATCAGCAGGAGAGGACTCTTTAAAGTAGAGACACTACATACTGATATACACCTGAACATCAGCAGGAGAGGACTCTTTAAAGTAGAGACACTACATACTGATATACACCTGAACATCAGCGGGAGAGGACTCTTTAAAGTAGAGACACTACATACTGATATACACCTGAACATCAGCAGGAGAGGACTCTTTAAAGTAGAGACACTACATACTGATATACACCTGAACATCAGCTGGAGAGGACTCTTTAAAGTAGAGACACTACATACTGATATACACCTGAACATCAGCAGGAGAGGACTCTTTAAAGTAGAGACACTACATACTGATAGACACCTGAACATCAGCAGGAGAGGACTCTTTAAAGTAGAGACACTACATACTGATATACACCTGAACATCAGCAGGAGAGGACTCTTTAAAGTAGAGACACTACATACTGATATACACCTGAAAATTAACATACTAGGGTCCTTTATGAACATTATTCATAAGCACAGGGTTTGTGTAGCAGTGAAATGTGTCTGCTGCAGTTTCCTTTCACAGGAAAAAGCATCTTACAGCAAGTGAGAAGCTGCAATGACTCTGTAAACACAGATATCAGCATCTGTGTGTGACTGAACTTAAAGTAGGGTGATGTTATTTGGACAGTTTGTAATAAAAAAGATTTGATTTTAGCAATAACTTGTGACGTTTAGATGTGTTTTCTTTATTAAAGATAGTTGAATGATCCCACTGCATTGGCAACTGTTACTGCATGACTTATGATCGATGTCTTTGTCTGCAATTTCATTTAAATCACAGCTTCACACTGATTTAGATTCAGAAGAAAAAGAGAGAAAGAAGGATGTGTTTGTTATCCCGATTTCAGTCTATTTTAAGATCCAGACAGGAAACTCAGAGTGATTTATCGTAGCTTCGTGACACAATGAGACTGTAAATCAATCTGTGTGTGTGTGTGTGTGTGTGTGTGCGTGTGCGTGCTGTGTGTGTGCTGACCCCCGTGTTGTTCCTCTTGGTGTCCAGCAGGGAGACGGTGAAGGTGGCGGCGAAGTTTGGAGAGTTAAGAACGTCTCTGAGAGCCAGGTGAGTCTCCCCCAGAAACCTGAACACACGAACACACACACACACACACACACACACACACACACACACACACACACACACACACAGACACACACACACACACACACACACACACACACACACACACACACACACACACACACACACACACACACACACACACACACACACACACACACATACACACACACACACACACACACGCATTTTTATTCTATATTTTTTGGACATTTTAATTTAACTTCTTATGTTTAAAATACATGTGTTTTAATTGTATTATTTATTAGACAACTTCTAATATTGATATTCATACAGTATATTTTCCTCTCTTGGGACATATTACTTTAACTGTATATGCTTACTTTAAATACATATTATTATTCTTTTTTATTTAATTCCATATTTCTGGGACATTTAACTTTATCTTGTTATATTAATACAAATATTTTCTTCCATTTTACATTATTATTTTTTATATATTTTAATGCATTTTTTATTTATTTATTCTTACTTTAACTTCTTTACAGGTACTGACCAAAGGGATAATGATTTAGCCTTTGAAAGCTTCTTCAAAACAGCTCGTATTTAAAAATGTCGGTCTTCTTTTTGGTAGACTATGTGCATGCAATACCTGTTTCTCCCCATCTTCTCATGATCTTTGACGACACAGTGCAGCTCCGCTCCAGAGTCCAG